ATTTGTGTCCGTACTTCAAAAGTAGGTTCTAATTACTTAAACTTAATGAATGAAATGAACATACATCACAAAATATATTCACTAATTTCAAAATTACAAGTCAGATTTAATAACGTGAAAGATAGTGAAAGGTTTTCACTGCAATAACGCGTTTTATATAATATGTATTATACTAAATATAGTACGTGTGGGTAATATGGTCATCCGGTTAATATGGTCACTTTCTAAGTCGAAAACTACAACCTTATTTGCATAGATGGCTTTGTGATACGATAGATTCAAATAATAAAGTAGTGGGGTGATGTTCAAGTACTCAGTTAGGCGACTCACATCTGGTGTAAGCACACATGTTGGCCGAGCGAAGGCTAGTACCAACATATGGACAGAACATTTGCCTAGTCTCACAATTGCTCGTCGTCGCTCGCCTAGCTGGCCGAGTACAGGCGAGAGGCAACGTGTATACGGTTCGTTTGGCGTGCCTTGCCACCACTCGGGATCGCGTTTTCACCCACCCTCCACCTAAACCTTTTCGAAATTAGACAATTTTGTCTCATTAGATTCAGAACACCTTAATCTAGATCCGTACGTATTTTTTTTCTAATTCAGTTTAGTTTAATTTAAAAACACACTCGAGGAAGTTTTTAAGTCCAAAATATAGATATTTAGATGCTAATAACTTATATACCCAGTGCCTGATTTAGAGTTCTCACAGTCCTAGGCCAAATATAAATATGTGCCCCCCACAAGCCTGTTTTGTCCGTGCCTTCCCATCTCACGAATATATTTACTAGATTTTTATATTTTACTAGCTTACTACCCGCAGTTGTCGACTATCGCCCATGCAAAAGAAATTACAGGTGCGTTGCCGGCCTTTTTAAAAGGTGTAAGCTCGTTTCTTGAATTTCTAAATCGTATTGGACCGGAAAAATTGCCGGTAGTAGATGATTTCACAAAGAATTCTTGCGAGAAAGAAAACTCCTAGTAAATCCCATAGTCATGGTGGACTGCCAAGCATCCAGATGGTGTGGATGGTACTGTGAGTTTTGTTCCGATGTGCGTTGGTGGAATTTGGCGGCTGGAATTAATCCGAAAATTTTGTGTAAGTACTCCCCGTGGAAAATTTTTAGTGGTAAACGCGCAAACCTGTGTTTTCTGAAGTTTGAACTGGTCTAGAGTCGTCCCCAATCCGAGATTTTGTTTATTAATACCCAACTTCAGACACAAGTTAGTTCCGATACTTAATGATTTAGCAATATTTAGCACAAATATAGCACGGCCGGTGTAAAAAGCATCACCAGTGTATAACCAGTAATAACAACATATTATTGATATACAGAAGAAACAGCGTATATTAGTGGACACAAAAAACAGCCTTGTGGACACTAGCATTAATAGGCTCGTAGTCGGAATATGCGCCGGTTACAACCTTGATGCTCCGGTCGGCAAGAAAACTGATGATCCAATTGCACAATATCTGAGGAAGCCTAAAGGAAGGAAGCTTCTATAGAAGCGCTTTGTGCCAAAGCTCATCGAAGGCCTCGCTATGTCCAAAATAACGACCAAGGCCTCCCACTTGGACTCTACTGCTTCCGCCATCTATGAGTTAGGTAAATTAGAAGAGTAGAACCAGAAATAGCTAGACGACCAGTGCGATCCCTATCTATTAGCTCGTGGTTCTGAAGGTATTTTATGAGCTGTCAGATCATAATGAATTCCATTATTTTGGAGAACAAGGAGGCGATGGTGATAAGCATTGTTGGAGGGATCTGAGCGGTCGCCTTTTTAGAGATCGGGTGCACTCTTCGACCAACAATATTAGTATTGTTGATCGAAGGGTGCACTAAAGCTATGTGCCATAAGTTCAGGATTACGCTTAGGGAGTAGGAGTACCGGGAAAGATGCCTTAGAACCAGTGTTAACTCCGGATCGCCGCTCTTCAGCACAATAGGAGGGACATGGAGCTATTCATCATCAAAAACTCCCACAAATTTTAAGCGCTATAAACAAAAGTTGTACTTTAATCTTTACTTTTCTTCTTTGTCTTTGCCTTCTGTCATTATCTCTGTTTACGTCTATAATGGGTGGTACTTACACATTACTTTCTTTTTAAATATTATATTATGACATAGAAAATTAAAATTTCCTATGTGTAACGTCATTTTTCTCCAAAACTACTTTTTCGAACGAGTCATTCTGGCGCATTAACAATTTATATACTCGTAGGACTATTTTATGATTTTTAATATGAGCATTAAATTGCAATTACAGGATTGTCTCGCGAAACCAAGAATTTTGATCGCCTTGATGAGTGGTTTCTGAAAATGTTATTAATGAGAGTGAATTTGCAGTTGATTTCTTTATACCATCATTCATTCATTTTCTAATCATTTTTCAAAATTTTGAACGATTTTGATTGCTATGAGATCTAAAAAAGTAATCGAAACGCAATTTCAATTCAAATCAATTCTTTAAGATATTGTTACGAGCATGGGGTTCAAGACAATTCTAAAAACTGCCGATGAAATTACCAAAATTGACACTTTAATTGTAGAACACTAATTACAACGTATATCCACACTAATAACAAAACAATTGTACTACAGATCACTTTATTTCGTAGTTGTATCGCTTCGAAGTATTCGCTTATATCGCCAATTCAATACTCACTCGGTCGTGGTCTATACCGGCCTTATAGTTTCAGATAGTTTCCAGAACCTTCTACTAGAGGGCGCTAGTGGTAACTAGTGTTGCCAATATATAGGATAATTAATTTGGGTATATATATATAAATTTTTACTGGACTACGCTGATCATATTAAATGAGTCTGCATCATCATCATCATCATCATTACAGCCCTTCACAAGTCACTGCTGAACTGAATGCCACAAAGCACGGTCCTGAGCCACCTGCAATCCATCGAATTCCTGCATATCTTACCAGGTCGTCACTCCATCTAGTGGAGGGATACCCTACACTTCGTCCGCCGGTACTAGGCCGCCACTCGAGAACCTTTTTCCCCATCGGTTGTCGGTTCTTCGAGCTATATGGCCGAACCATTGCCACATCAGCTTACCGTTGGGCTATGTCGGTCACTCTGGTTCTACTGCGGATATACTAATTTCTAAGTTTATCACGCAGAGAAACTCCGAGCATTGCCCTCTCCATACCTCGCTGAGTGACCTTGAGCTTCCTCATCCGGCCAGCAGTGAAGGACCACGTCTCAGTTCCATAGGTCATCACTGGCAACACGCACTGGTTGTACAGTCTCGTTTTTAAGTTTTGAGGAATACCTGACGAGAAGATGTGCCGTAATTTCCCGAACACTGTCCAACCGAGTTGAATCCGTCGATTGACCTTTCGGTCGAAGTTGGACTTACCTAGTCGGACTATTTGTTCCAGGTAAACATACTCGTCAACAACTTCGAGCTTAGTGCTCCCAACAACTACCGACATAGGTGTGACATGGACATTAAATATGATCTTTGTTTTGTCCATGTTCATCGTAAGACCTATCCGTTGGGAAACACCATTGAAGTCATTGAGCATAATGCTTAGGTCCTCTAGCGATTCTGCCATAAGAACTATATCGTCGGCAAATCGAAGGTGAGTGATGCACTCGTCATTGATGTTAATACCGTATCCTTTCCAGTCCAAAAGCTTGAACACGTCTTCCAATGCAGCGCTGAAGAGTTTCGGGGATACGAGTATAACGTCACCCTGTCTTACATCTCTCTGCAATGGGATAGGTTTCGTACTCTGGTTCTGTACTCGGGTAGCCATCGTAGTCCTACTGTACAAGCACTTCAGCACGTCGATATACCGACAGTCAACTTGGCACCGCTGGAGGGACTGCAGCACCGCCCAAATTTCGACGGAATCAAAGGCTTTCTTATAGTCCACATACGCCAGACATAGTAGCAAATTGTACTCCTCGGACTTCTGTACAATTTGTTGAAGGGTATGTATGTGGTCTATGGTGCTAAATCTTTATCGGAAACCGGCTTGTTCGGGAGGCTGGAAGTTGTCAAGTCTGCGCGCGAGACGGTTCGTAATGACTCTCGAAAACAGCACGTAAACGCGGCTCAGAAGGGAAATCGGTCTGTAGTTCTTCAAGAGAGCATTGTTACCTTTCTTGAAGAACAAGACCACCGCACTTCTGCTCCACGCTTCCGGTGTAATGCCACCATGGAGGACGGAATTAAAGATCTTCTGAAGAACTTCAGTACCGGTTTTCCACCAGCTTTCAGAAGCTCCGCTGTAATTCCATCCGCGCCTGGGGCCTTGCCATTTTTAAGCTGCTGGAGAGCAATTCTAATCTCGCTCTGACTGACGTCCGGGATATCATCGGAACAGTGTCGGATAAGAATCGCTCTTGGATCGTTACTCACACTTGCTTGTGGCTTCAACGACGATGTGTACAGCTGCCCATAGAACCTCTCAATCTCACTCAAAATCTCAGGTGTCCCGGAAATGACGCTGCCACACTCGGTCTTCAGCTTCGACAGTTGGCTCTTTCTGGTAGAAAGATCTCTAGCAAAGACTTTGGAGCCCTGGTTCCGCTCGATCGCTTCTTCAATACGAGCAGTAGGTATTGAAGTTGCGTAAGTCCCGCCGCATGCATTTGCAGATCTGTCTGTTTAGTTGCCTGTATCCTGTATGCTGTCAAATCTACTGAAGACTGCAGCTTCATATCCCGTCTAACAGTCATAAGATTAAGAGTGTGATCGGAGAGTTTTTGTGTTCTTCTGCGGCGGATCTTGCAAAACTTAGCTCCGACCGCATGGACAGTTTCCACGAGCTTGTCATTGCTATCGTCCACTGCATTGCAATCTTCTAGGCACTGAAAACGGTTTCGTAGCTCGAGACGAAAGGAGTCTGCATCAGCCACAAATATTTTTTTAAATTGCATGTCATTCTCAATCATGCCGGGCAAAAGGTTTTTATTGTATATGAATATTATTTGAAAATAATAGGATAATAAAAAAAAAACAATTTTATTGAATTGTTTATTTTGAAATAGATATTTCGCATGAATTGTGTTCGTCATTATAAATGTGTAGTAAATATAAACGCTGTTAAATTCACAACGACACAACACTACTAGTACGAGTTACTTACATACATTTTATATTATAAACATTTTATAACTTAATAATATACATTTTATAAATAGTCTTAACAATATAAAGCCTATCTTATTATCTAAACATTATGTTACATGTGACCTTATGTATAAAACAATATTTCAAATAAAGATTCAACAAGAGTCGATTCGTTTTTATAATTTAGATATCAGTTTTGGAGCATTCCAAAACAGATCATAACAAACATTCCCGGTATATGCTCATTGATAAATAATTTGTAATCTGTGATGAGAGAAACATTCAAATGTCAAATTAGATTTGATAGGATTCTATCGACGAGCATGTACAACATTGTAATGTAGACCTCTCGCATTATATTTGATTGTGTCTGATATTATGTGATAGAGACTTGTACTTATTACTGTTTTTAATATTAATAAAAATCAATTTAAAACACAAGTCATTCTCATTTCTTTTTTGCGTACTTACTTATAATTTTGTCGTAAGTAATTACTCCTGTATTAGTTGAGCGGTACACACGGAGTATTTAAACTTCTCGGGGTTAATAAACAAATCGTTAAGGACAAAGTAATACTCATTTATAATAATTTATAGTCTCTTGGCAAGCTTTTTGTTTACAGTAATGTTGGTCGAGTAGTTTCATATTTGTGATATTTATTTTTAGCTAGCCTCAGGAGTAATCCTTGAACAACACTAGGTGTTTAGAGTAATATAGAAAATGCGCGTTTGTTTAGTACTTTTAGTAATGCGAGAGGTTCAGTTATGGAGCTAAGGTAAGGCACTAGGGAATGGGTTAATTGGAGTTACTTAGAAGTCATATGAGCCGCTCTCGCCGCTCTTGCCGATGCGTAATATGAACCTGTACACGAAACCAGCGCCGACCCCGCCAATGATCGGGCCCACCCAGTATACCTGAAAGATAATTCAAATTAAGTTGCTATGTTTTTGTTAAATGTACATTATTGTTTTTTATTAGACAGGTATCTAAGAATGTTATGCGATATCTTTGCCAATTTTTTTAATATATATATAGTCCTATGCTGCACAAGTAGCTGCGTGTCTTTACTACATAAAAAAAAACGTAGCTCTTTGTTGTTAACTATCTAATCGCATTTAATTATATTATTATATAATATAATACGCCTCGTTGTAAGTTAGTTATTGTTTTTTTTGTCACGAAATTCTCAGTAGCAGGGCGGAGTCAGAAAGTAGACGGTACCCCCGTGCCTCGCGGAAAGCACTTAAAGTAGATCCCGCGCCTGAATTCTCTCCGGTCGTGTCGGATAACTGTCCCATTGGAATATGAGAGTGGGGGAATAGAGACGGCACCTGTGCTTGCGCATACACTCGGGCACTATAATCCTGTCCTGCGCAGATTTCTAGTTTCCGTTGAAACTTGAGAGTTGAGACTGGCCGCCATCACCGAAATTCGGTCTGGACGACATTATAATATAAGCTCAAGGCTCATATCAAGGCCCCTTCAGTTTTCGCTTTTAAAAGTTAAAAAGTTTAATTTTATCTTCTAATGAGATATTGTTTACTTAAAAAAAAAGAGAAAGAAATAAGAGCACTTTTATCTCTGTGCGTGTGTACTGTGTATAACGATATAGGAAGAAATTAAAGTTACTTTCATTGTTCTGTATTATACAACCGTTCGACCGTCGGAAAATGGCGCTTATTTTCTATAGAAATGGTCCACGCTTTCTGCAATTCTATCATGCATGAGAAAACACTCCACACAATGGAGTCGCTATCAAGTGCGATTTTGCATCACGAAATGTCCACGTAATAACACTTAAGATGACTGCTTATAATATTTTTCATTTGTAAATTATATTATATTAATCTATTTTTAATGCGTGCTTCCAAATTATTTAACCGTAATATGGCTCTGTTTCATGCATTTAAATTCCTTTTTAAACTACATACTACGACAATGTGACAAACTTGTTTTATTTATTTATTGTTTATTGTAACACCTTACAACTAAGGTAACAATGGGCAGACTTAACACTTTCACTGTCCGGTTTTGACACACAATAGTAAGACAATAGCAATGACCTATATGTAGTGCACGGGACAGCGAAAGGGTTAATGCCGAATAATACTTATATGTATGTTAATACAAATAAATATAGTTATGAATGATTGTTTCTTATATGCATAAAAAATAATTGTTTGTTATTGATTTAAAAAATAGATTTAACTAGAAAGACATACAGACTACTGAGCAATTTGATAACATGAGATTTTGTCTAGAAAGCAAATATAAGTATATTTTTTACGTGGAACCCTAATTCTTTTTCTAAATTAATAGTAGCCTAAGTTACTCCTTATAACATACTGCCAGTGAAAGTCCCGTCAAAATCGGTCCAGCCGTTTCGGAGATTAGCCGGATCAAAACTGACAGACAGAGAATTTTTTTAAAAATTGTTTATTTTTGTTATAAGTACAGTATATACATTCATTTGCATTTATTAAAAAGCTGTTATTTTTACATTACGAACAGACTCTTCAATTTTATTTATTTATATAGATTACTCTAGATCTGAAGGTACTATTTGCAGAATTTTTCTAAGCATTGCTTCACCAAAACGTTGTCAAACTCAATTGACAAAATATTGCCATTGTCAAATATAACGTGTGAAACAAATAAACGTATGATTTGTTAACAGACTTCTCGTCCTTGGTAAGAAATGTTGGCGAGTTGTTGTGATCGATGATCAAATATTTACTTCCTTTGTAAAACATTTTGTAACATGTTAAAGGAAGCTACAAAGTTCTTTAACAGTGTTTACAATACGAACGACTATTCGAATAAGTAAGTAAAGTTAACATATTTAATGTGGAGAAACTTGATGCTGATTTTAATCAATTTTTAATCAAAAAACCAATGATAAAGCTTAATTGAAAGTAATAATTATCCACTCACAAAAATCCAAAGTTTATCCTTTTTAAATGTATTTTTTTTTAATGAAATTGAATTGAATTTTCAATTTTATCGGGATAAATGGACGTATATGCCAACATTGTTGTTATATTAAAATGTACGTCATCAACCAAACCACGAATTTCTCTCGTATTGTGGAGGCGTTTTCATAAACTAAATTGTTCCTAGACAGACATTCGGATCTGAAGCAGTTATTTGTAGGTCATACAAATTCTGGACCCTTGCGGGAATTAAACCTGAGGCCTGCAGATTTTTAAATGTCAATTTCAGCTCAATTTATCAACTGCAGTCAATAGGGCTCCATAATGCTTTATTAGCTGACGAAAATTTGGCAGTTGACGACTCCATAAAAAAAACCACAAAACCCAAAGTTATCCATTGAACTCACCAGCCAACCTAAAGTTGTGAATGTGGTGAGTATGGGTAATGTTTGCCAGCTAGCGCAATCTTGGAAAGGCAAAGATCAGCAGTGGTTTTATAATGGCTCTTATAATGATGATGCTAATCACATCGCTATGTTTATGCAAATTAGAAAAAATGCCGTAATTCAAGACAGGTGACGAAAACGAAACCAAGAACTAGATCGCATTATGTAATGCGTGAGATGAATATGAGAAGTGCACGTTATGTTCACACGTAATACCCTTACACATCTGCGACTTCTTGGTGTTGGGCGATTCACGATGATGCATAGTGAAAGTTAGTGAGATCTATGATTAAAGATTGGTCACGGGACTCACTACCGATAGTAGATAAAATTGTAAATTTTATTGAACACAACACTAACCTGTCGCTTGCAGTCGAAAGTTCTAGCAACCTATGCCGTAAAGTAATTTAATCTATAAATAAAATATGCATACAGAATTATTTCGCTTTCACGTGAATGCATTTATAATTTAATTTCGACAAGTTCTAGAGTAAAATTTATCATTTAGAAAACTACTTAGTACCATTCGTTTACATTAAAGGAACAAAATATATTCATATATAGCCCCCATAAAACAAGTTTAGCAATAAATTTATATGCAAGTTTGGTTCTTATATTGACATAATTGAATCAAATTTCTAAACCTGCAGCAAATACCACTTTCACATCTTATAGCTATTGTAAATTTTTCTATATTTGTTAATAGTTTTTTGGCTAATAATTTACATAATTATATAATTTACATAATGTTCATACACAAATGCACATTGACAAATAATAGATCCGGAACAATTATTTGCATGCTATATGAATATTTGTTCCGTTCAGAAATGGAACTGTCAACCCGCAGGGCAGCATCACAACCAAACGCCGCTTAGCACTGCGCTACGTAGCCAAGTTTTATGTGCATTGCATTTTTTATGTTCTGATTTCCTCTATACTGTCCGTAGTTTTATGATAAAAAGCTTATAATATTTAGTTTATTATTTTAGATTTATAATTTTATATCAGCATGTATTGTGTGAATCTTACAGGACACTCGGTTTTTACATCGTTCCGACGTATACAACAGGTATAATCGGTTGTGCTTTGTTTAAAATACCATTAAAATTAAATAGAATAATAAAATATAAATATATATATATATTAATATATCCAGCATACTTTTTAGGAAAAGTGATTATTGCTGTTACTTTAAGAAAATTTGTTTAATTTTTCATAAAATACATACCCAGTGTGATGTCCAATCGCCCATAACAAGCGCCGGTCCAAAGGAACGCGCCGGGTTCATGCTCGAGCCGGAGAAAGGAACCTGTAAACGAATTACTTCTATAAACAACATGTTAATTAATATGGAAATTTTCAGATACTAGCATTAAGATATTGTGTTAACGTGTCTTCATACGTGGTAGAGCCATGCTGCAGCTATATTAGTAGTATAGTTGTAGCACGATTGGGTCGGCTCGACCGGGGAAGGACCACGCTCTCACAGAATACCAGCGTAAAATAGCAGCTTAACACTGCTGTGTTTCGTATGGTGAGTGTAGAGAACCGGATACTATTTTTACTGGAAACGAGGCATTCCATCTTAGTCATCACGGCTGACAACGTTGCTGTGGCCCATAGATGTCTATGGGCCACAGCGACCACTTACCATCAGGTGGACTGCGTGCTCGTCTGTCACCCTATCCTATAAAAAAAAACATTAGGAAATAGTTTTGAATAAATAAATCGCATGTTCTTTTGAAAAAGTAAGAAATGTCTATATACACGACTTATATATATGTGGCTATATAAAAAGCTCGAAATATAAATACTTAAATAGATAATAACAATTTTAAAGTGAAACTAATTTTTAGGTAAGGTAAACGGGGGGACCCGCCGTGACCACGGGTGATTTTAAAGCACCCGAAACGTCGGGAATTAAAAAGTTAAATTAAACGTGATCAAATCCGTAAAAAAAAAATAGTTTCATTTAATGTGTAGTCTTCGCGTAAATATATAATAAATCATAATTTTTAAAGTTTTAAAGATAAAATTTTTTATTTATCTATTGCTACTTTAGCTACGTATAATTAATGTCCAAAAACTATTACAAACATTAAGAGAACGCTAGACTTTAGTACCAAACTGTTTTGCCACATATAAACCAGTATTTACACAAGATGACTGATAGTGAAGGGGCAGGGTCAGCCCTAACATATGGCGAGCTCAATCAGGTTTCTCCTAACATGCTGTCGTGCTTTTCGGTTTATATGGGTCTAATTCAATATTCGTTTTATTTTAAAACTAGCTGTTCCCCGCGACTTCGTCCGTGTGTTATTTGGAGTTTTAATTTTTTTTTTTGCGCAGAACCCTAATTCTTTTTCTAAAATAAAAGTACCTTAAGTTACTCATTGTGACATCAGCTATCTGCCAGTGGAAATCCCATCAAAATCGGTCCAGCCGTTTCAGAGATTAGCCGGAACAAAATACTTTCATATCAATTTTGTAAAAAGCTGTAATTTTGACATTACAAACAGTCACTTCAATTTTATTAATTAGTAAGATTAAGCTGTGTGTACAGTTAATAGGTCTTTTATTTTAAACTAGCTGTTTCTCGCGACTTCGTTTTACTTTTTCTAAAATAAAAGTAGCCTAAGTTACTCCTTATGACATCAGCTATCTGAAAGTGAAAGTCACGTCAAAATCGGTCCAGCCGTTTTCGAGATTAGCCGGAACAAACAGACAGACAGACAGACCGACAGACAGACAAACATTTTAAAAATTGTGTTTTTGTTATAAGTATCGTATATACTTTCATAAGCATTTAGTAAAAAGCCGTAATTTTAACATTACAAACAGACATTTCAATTTTATTTATTTCTATAGACTAGCTGTTCGCCGCGACTTCGCCCGTATGTAGTTTAGGTTTTTTTTTTGCGCGGAACCCTAATTATTTTTCCAAAATAAAAGTAGCCTAAGTTACTCATTCTAATATCAGCCATCTACCAGTGAAAGTCCCGTCAAAATCGGTCCAGCCGTTTCGGAGATTGGCCGGAACAAACAGACAGACAGACAGACAAAAATTTTAAAAATGTCTTTTTTGTTATAAGTACCCTATATCATTTCCTATGCATTAAGTAAAAAGCTGTTATTTTGATATTACAAACAGACACTCGAATTTTATTTATTTGTATAGATGTATAGATATGGATAAAAGGGAAGAACGGATCTGTAAAGTCGATTACCAATATAAATATAGTGACATATACATAAAATTTCAACCCGTGCGTGTCGTAATACAATAGAGGGAAATTAAAACAGAAGATGGGTAGCAGCATCTTTTTGATGATAACACTTCAAAATAATTAAAAAAAAAAACACCGGTTCCCTATCCGCCTGACAAACGAAGCAACTATGCCAAAATCTTTCCGAGGAGGCAATGTATGGGAGCGGCCTATGTTCACCGGTGGACTTTTATAGGCTGCAATGGATAGATGGATACGTACAATTGTACATATAAAATATAGATTATATGAACGTTTGCAATACCTTAAAACTTCCTTGTAATTGCTATTCCCGATTAAGAATCAAAATACAGATGCGTTATCAGGACTAAGATGGGATGACTCGTTACTAGTAAAAAATCTCAGGTTGTCGTCACTTGCCACTCGAAACGTGGTACTTCCACGGTCGAGCCGCCCTACTTGTGCTGCAGTCTTATGCTGCAGCGTGTCTTTACTACATAAAAAAGATGTAGCCCTTTGTTGTTAACTATCTAATCGCATTTAAGCCTATAACTAAAAGCCTAATTGAAGCCGCGTCGGGTCACCCAACTCTTCGAGTTACTTCTTTCTAAGGTTGATTATAGCTACAGGCGAACACATTTATTTTGTATTGTTTATGTTTACGCCATGTTTTAATCTACCTCTGTGTGTATGTAGTGTAATATGGAAGTAGTAGTACTCACACAAGCGGCGTGGCAGGCGGTGATGCTGAGCCCGATGGCGAGCGGCGCCGAGCCCTTGAGATCGGTGCGGCGTCCGTCGCACACGGCCTCCACTACCAGCACCAACACGAACGTGATCAGAGCTTCCACCAGCAGCGCCTGCGCAGAAACACATGTTTGGTACGCTCATGCGTTAAACGGAAACCGATTATAATTTATAAGATGATAATTAAAAGATATCCATGTCAACAATTAAATTATTTAAAGTATAAATGTTCCGTTTTGTCTCTATCAAATTCAATGTATAAAAGATTAAAAATAGAAGCAATATGAATAGAAAATGGAACTTTTAAATATATTTTGTTTATAAATAAAGTTGCTTAAAAAGAAAACATAAATAGAAATTATTTGAATAAGTTTAAATTTTTTTTTCTCTTTATCTGGTCTATAAGACAGAACACAATTTCAACATTGACAACTGACAGGTATTATATAAAACAAATATTTCAAAAATTGTATTCTAATATATATATATATGTAGACACAGCTTGTACAAAATGTATCTGTAATTAACAATAAAGTTTTTTACTTAAAGTTATGTTATGTTCATGCTAAACTTAACCTAATTAAATTAAGGCTAAATTAAATTACATACTTGGAATAAAGATACTGTAATAATTTGTTTTTTTGTGAGGCCACTATGCTACTGATACAGTTAATTATATCAGTAGCAGAGTAAGTTGTCAGGTAAGCAAGCAAGTGTAATAACTAAAAACCAGTGGAAATATACAATATTTCAAAAAAATAATTCTAGATATTATATGATCTAAGTATATGTAATATAAAATTTTCAAAACTTTTAGGAAATTTGGTTAAAGGAATTACATAAAACATACCTGGCCTTCAGTGACGCCTTGCCCAGGCAGCGTCATACCAAAGGATAACACTCTTTTTTCAGGTACCGCCAACTGCAATAAAACAATCTTACTTAATGTTGTAAATGTGAAAGTATATTTAGATGTTCGTCCTTCAATCACGCTTAAATAGCTAAACTTAGATTTTTAATTAGATTTCTTTATAGAATAAAGGTGACAAACGAGCACACAGTCTACCTGATGGTAAATGGATGCTGTGGCCCATAGATATCGACATCTATCCTCGATTAATATTCAATATGCAGATGTGTTGCTACCCCTGAGAACTGAGATGGAATGCCTCCTTTCCAGTAAAAAGGGTCTCCTGTTCTCTACACTTACCATACGGAACACAGCACCATTGAGCTGCTATTTCACAACTGTATTTTGAGAGAGCGTGGTACTTCCCCAGATAATATAGCTGCAGAATGGCTCTACAACGTTTAATTATGTCGTAGAATAGGATATGGAATCTTTTAATAGTAATTTTTATTAAAGCTACTATGCGACCAGTGAAGCAGACGGATAACCTTGAACTATTATTTCTAGAGGTCTTCAGACGCTAAAATTATATTTGTACTACTTTTAATTTATAGCTTAACCCAAATTGTTTTTAAATGTAAAATGAATTTATTAATTTATATGATCACTCGTCAGCGACTATAATATAATGAAAAAAGAAATGAAAATGATTTTGATGTTAATATTTTAGTTAATATATTATTTTCTTTAAAAACTCTGTGTAGCATAAAATATAATTTGTGTTTTTGCTTTTAATACCAGATTTACTTGATAGTGGAGCGTACTTCGCTTCTTGCATACTTTTCAGCGCTTACTAGCACCTGTGCAGTCACAATTGTGTTCTTTTCCGTTTCTGCAGTATTTTTATATCACATCACCAACCTTTCATCTCTATTGATAGACAGAGGCCATTCTATAAGTATGTAAAAATTTTCACATATTCACGATGCTGGGCGGGAGTTTTGCAATCAATAATGCCGCTCCTCCCTCTCCTAAAAAGCTCGTGGGTAGGTTAAACATTCTTATATTTCCCGGTACCCATCGATTGTCAGAATTATCTCTCAATAAGTAGGTCCAGGTGACGTCATATTGAGAAAATACCTGCAACCGTGACGGCATCATAGCGCAGTGGCTAATTGTTTGGCTGTGCATTGCGAGTTGCGAGTCGTGGGTACTACCGCAATGAGCTAGTGGCGCACGGCCTGTAAATAATTGTTTTGGGTCCAGATGAATGGAAATTCGTGTTTAAATAAAACGCCTCCACAAAACACTAGCTATTCCTAGTGAGGGGCAACGTGTTTAAAAACAAGGAAACTGCTCTTTACCCTTGAATGGTTAAAATTTACAAGACTTAAAAACAATCAGTCCAACCAGCAGTACGAATATGTGTTCTGATGGGAATCCTGTACCGGTGGGGTTCAATCCAATTGCCATGCGTAGTTTTCTCATTATAATAAAACTTTGTAACCTAAGATAAGATGTTAATTTTAGGATATTAATATAAAAATTAATCGGCTTATAATCGATACAGATTAAAACAATACGAAGAACCAAATGTCAAATGTCAAAACGAAGCCAAGCACGACTCCCACCTGAGTTATTACAATAGCGCTACTCGTCTTCGCACTTTTGTTGTAAATATATCACGCATTCGAAACCAAACTGTTGGTCTTGTCGTGCGAAATGCGTAAAGCAAAGCAGTAGAATAATTTGCCGACGTCTGTTTCATCTGATCACAATTTACAACGTGGGCGTCAGTGAATAAGCTTCTTTAAGCTAAACAGTGTAGTGTGTATACTTAAGCATCCACGCCTCTATCGTCACTTACCATCAACTGAGATATTAGTAAAGCACTGACTTATAAACTCATAACAGATACAAAAGATGTATTGCTATTAATGTGGCAAGAATACTATCACAGTCACATTTGTACATTTATTTGTAATATTTGTGTGCATTTTGTACATTAGTTTTAGAACTTTTCTGCTAGCCCTAAGCCTAGTTAAGTATGAAGGAAAGTCGCCAACTTAAATAATCATTAATAAATAAACTACTTAAAATAATTTTATATACAATATATAAATTATGTTTGCTTCTTATAAATACACTTGAATAGCCTATCTTTAATATAGAAGTTATTTTTTATTGTGTATGGTGTGTGCAGTTACTATGTATGGTGCGTAAAGTGGAAACTCTTACGTCATGTAGTGACAGCCATATCATACTGTGTGTGTCGTAAGAGGCAATAGAGGGTAGTGAAACAGGAGATGGCCAGCAGCATCATACTGATAACAACCTAAAATCATAAGAAACTGTGTTTACCAACCCGCCTGAGAAACATTGCAATTATAGCAAGTATCTTTTCTATGAGACCTATGTTTAGCAGTGGATGTTTAATAGACTGTTATGAATGAAGATGTTTATAATCAAATTGAAAATGATATTTCGTTTGTTTATAACCCCCGACTTGTAAAAGTTTTGATACAATTTACAAAGCCATCTGAACGGATCAATCTAGACATACGCGACGCACACTAGCATCCATTTATCGCAATATTTTGTCATTATTCATTCTGGCCCTAAAACGACCGCAATACACAATTTATTAAGTGAATTTGTTGATCGATAGCTCATGTGCGAATCGTGTTTATATATGAGTCATTGCGTGTGAGTATAGAAATCACGAGAAACCCTTGTATACGTTCGAAGGTAAAAAAATGTTATGCTGCAGAAAATAATATGTAAATAATATTCAAAAAACAACCAGAAGACACGTCAGACACGAAACAGTTATTTGTAGGCCATACAGATACTTAATGTGTGCGGGATTCGAACCCTGTGCTGAGAAGCCGTTGATGTATTAGTATTGTGCGTATAATTATTTTGAAATCGATTTTAGTTACCTAGTATCGCCTAGTATCATTCAGAGTATGTACATTCTGACAGCTCGAAAGAAAATGAAATATGAGTATATAATAATAGAAAACGAAAGCTTTAATTTATTAAAGTTTTCGAAATTTTCACTATTTACGAACAGTCGCAAATATTTTAAAATATATTTATTTAACTTATAAAAAAAAACTTTATTAAGCCGCAAACATAATTTTTAAAATCAATACATTACAACAACCTTTTATAAGTATACAAGTTGAAGCATTTAGAAACTTCTTCTGTAATGGTAAGGTAATGGTAAATAATAATATCAGTAAGCAAAATAAAAATAAAAAACACTCGTCCATAATAACAAGCCAGGACGATTTTTAAATAACATACCAATACTAACGTGATATTTAAATACTCATACGTTATTACGGTTGAAAAATGAACCAATTATTTCCATATTATTAATAGGCACCTTAAAAATAAGTTACGTTTAACTGCGCAGTAATTATTGTAGTCGCAATCAGTAACAGCGACACAAAAATACTTCGTTAGTAACAACGTTTAAAAGTATAGTTATAACGGAGTATTAGATGAGTTATTAAAGGTTAAGAGAGAATTAGACGTCTATAACTCTTGGTAACAAAATGTCCGTACACCAAAATTGCCTTACCAATACAGCCTTCCCAATACACTAAAACGGCAATGAGCTAGTTAAGTCTACTTTAGTGTACTTTATGACGAAGCGGTCGTCACTTAATATACTGTCCAAGAAAGAAATTTTACGTAAGCTTTGTGTGGGACACCACCTCATTGCATTGAGAGAAGCGTAAGAAAGGTATTTACTTGAAGCCTTAGGGTGCGCCTCCACTAAAGTGGAAAGAAGAAATGTTTTCACTTTCATAGAAACGGATTCTGCTCTCGATTGCTACACGCATCGTCTGCCCTTTGTATGAAAACATATCTCTCGGGTTCTCAGGTGAAAAGGAGAGCTTTCCTTCTGGTTGAAAACCTGCTCGACCGAATAAGATATAAGCTAAGTGGCGTAAGTATATTTTGTAAGTATTTCTTTGACCTTGATAACAAATCCCTTTTCATATTATAGAAATGGATTCATAATAATTTATTAGAAATTATTATAAATCCATCTGTATCTCTCGTGAGGGCATGAAAAAAAAAACTTTTATAGAAGCACTAACAAGCACACAGTTCACGATATTATAGTAAGTGGATGTTAATGACCATAAACTAGGTGTCTATGGTGTTGTCTAAAAGAGTCTCCTGTACTCTACAGTCACCATACGTAAATGCAGTTATAATAAATAATACAGCTACAGCGTGGCACGTAAAATTTGCATGTTAAATTGATACCAACTTTTGTGAATCCGGTGATGAGTTTAAAGCTTCAAGTCTTGTATACACCACTTTCAATTATAAATCATGTAATAGCGATATGTCATGAGGACTTCGGTTCTGCACACACGAGTCATACCGGTATCGTGGGCGAACTAGTTAGGCGAGCTTTGGCGAAGGTCGATGCTCTAATTTGTTTCTTTATTCTAAGATCATCAGTGTCAGGGCGAGCGACACTTTTGTGCTGGCCACGTAAAAATGAGCGGAAAGCGGAAACACAAACGCTTGCTCTACATGCTTATGTAACTAACTAACTACGTTGTTTACTTTGTATCATTAATATTTTAGTGAGTAGATTTACCTTCGGAAAGAGACTGATTTCCTGGGCAATAGATATTGATGATTAAAATATGTTAAACAATTTAAATCAGTTCTTACTTCCACTAGGTTAATGATTGCCTCGTTAGGTTTGAATCCTGGATCGGGCCGTAAACCAGTTATTGGGTTTTTCTGTCCGGAAATTCTCACTTGCAGCTCGGTGTCAGAATGACGTCAGAAGACTACGTTAAATGTCTTAATATGGTATGGTACTACCAGAGTGAAGTATTACTTATCTAATTAGTGAATCTTTTTTTAAGTCATCGTTATTCGGTAGGCTCATAAAGAGTTTCTTTGTGTTAGCTGGTATCGATGTGTGGTAAATATAAACCAAATCTTCATCTTCTTCGTCATCAACCGGTAAAACTCCACTGCTGGACATGGGTCTTTCCCGTTGTAGAGAGAATTGGCTTCAATAGTCACGCTTGGTGGAGGATCCTAAATCCTAACGTCTCGCACCTTTGACTCTGCTGCCCGTCGTCAGTTTGGGCATCTAATGCAAACGAGATGGTTACGTCGCCATCTATCGAAACTCATCCAAATTTTTCCGGTATTTCACATTGTCGCCTCTTACTAACCCACGGAACTAACCACCACATGACACATAAACGAAATAGTAAATAAAACATTACTGTAACTTTACTAGGGGGCAAGTATTGGACCATTACCAATTTGAGAGAGTTTGAAATCATCTCGCATTTTTAGATATCTCGCTGAAAAGCTGCCGTCGAAGAAACAGCCGGGTAATTCTGTTTGGATGATTGACTGGGAGATTAAGGAAGAGAAAAGGCATTAACAGCGCTGTTAGTAAACTTTTTGATGTAAGATAGGACAATAAAGTAAAATAAATGATTCCGCTGGTGGTGATATTACAATTAGCGTACTTCCAATACGTTAGCCGTGGTAGCTCAGAGACTAACCACTCGCTGTAAATTTCACAGTACGCGAGCAACCAGGTTTCGATCTCCACCGGCACCAGTGAAATTGTTTTTTATATATGAGAAGGGGCAAACGAGCATGCGGCTCACCTGATGGTAAGTGACTACCGCCGCCCATGAACAACCGCAACACCATGGGAATTGCAGATGCGTTGAGATAGCCTTTTGAAAAAGAGTAGGCTGTGTTAATGTTAATAATATAATATAATGTTGAAGGAAAACTTCGTGAGGAAACCTGCATGTCTAAGAAATAAGAAAAAAATATTTCGAAGACATGTGACGTTCGCCAACACGCATTGGGGCAGCGCGGCGGACATTTCCTTGCCCTAAAACCCTATCTGAAATGTGAGCAGGCCTGTGCACAGCAGTGGGACGTATATAGGCTGTGACTTTTACTTTTTTAACTTTAATTCACTACCACCAATTGATACTTTCAGTAGCACTGTTAGCACTAAGTTCAAAGTTACTAACCTACATATATGGATTACTAGTAAAAGGCTTCGTGGAACGTTTAAACGCTAAGACATAATAACGGGATCGTTTTAAGATTCGGGGGTATGAGGGAATTATAGGGAATCAACAGACCGACACATGAACATGCTTGCCCTTAGTTAAATATACAACAATGGACCAGACCCATTTTGTGAAATTTTTAAAAGCTTCGCCCAATTGACTCTTGAGACGCTTTACTAAGCAAAATCATTTTAGGCCTGATCTAAACCACAAATCCAATTCATTTCAAATACCATAGAATTTTGACAGTTAGTAAATCAAGGATATGCAGATCTATAATGGACAAAGTATTGGCATTTCTAACTGAAGGAGCGATGTGGTTACTCGGAAACAGCTTTAACGATTGGAATGTAATTTTGTGTTTAGTTAATGTCCCAAAATTATCTAAATTTGTGGTATCCCTGAGAGAATATATAATTTTAACAGTAGCCTAATGTATAAGGTACAGAATGTAAATATAAAAGTCGTGAGTTCAAACACGCGATTAGACTACTATCATAAACCGCTCCTAAAACAAGGATAAAAGTTTACGTGGAATGTTTATCGTGGATACTACTAATATTAATTAATAGAATTTTTAAATATATAAACTATAACCCCTGGTTACGTTATATTACGTTCTGACGTCTAAAGCCTTTAATCAGAAATAAAATTACTTTTAGCAAATTCACTCGCTTCGTCAAGCACTCAAGACTATATTCTATGGTAGCAAACGTATGCGTGATCTATATGTGTAGCATTTAGAATGTCGATGTGAATGCTTACGGCTTTAGTGAGAGATGTTAATGAATACGACGATAGAGTAATATATCGCCAATGACTTCTTGAAGATTATATAATTTAATTTATAATCACAGTTTTCATTCACAAAAAGTTAAAATAGCTACAAAAGAAATTTGTGTATTATCATAATGAGTTATTTAAATAAAGTTTTTATAGTATAATTAAAAGTACTGAAACAATGTTGTGGCCCATAAACAACTATATCTATCTTCGATTTAAAATAAAATATAGATGCATTATCACCCCTGGGGTGTAAGGTGACTCGTCACCAGTATTTTGGATCTCCGGTTCTCGAAATTGCGTTAGCCGCATCAAAGGTGCGATAATGAGTAAAGAAAGTTTCGGTTACGAAAAATTAAAAAAAAACTTATGAACGCGCGCTATATTTAACTATTTTATTTGTACCCTAAAAAAGGTAAAACTTCAAAAAAATATAAACGTGAGATTTGAAATCAACTTCTTTTAATGCTTGATTCTAAATAAAAAGTAAATCATCTTCAATACGTATCTAGAACATTGATTATGTATTTGTATAATAAGTGTTTACTAATGATCTTCATGGCTCTTGTTGCTAAAACTGTATCTATAGAAGGCATGAACGCCTTGTTGAGAGGCGTTGTTACTACGTTTACGGACAATTATTTTCAGAGCTATTTCCTTGTTATTCGTAATATTTTAAATATAATCCATTTTGTAGTAAAATATTACAAAATTTTGTCTACTTTATTTTTTTTTCTTTTTGCTTACAATTTAATGTGGTGATAGATATATTGGTGTAATTTTTACTAAAATAAAGGTTTTAATGTTGAGGATTTTATGCGTAAATGTCATCGTTGCTTTATTAATAATTTTTGCTATTGTTGATTAAAATTATTGTTGCTTTCTTTATTTCTGTTTTTAAGATTTTTAAGAACAGTATTTATTCTGACTAAGCAACTTCTTTGAGCTTTCCGTGGTTGCAGTTAAGTAAGGTGAAGAAAATCATAATAGAAACAGAAAAATAGCATGTGCCTTTTTTCTATTTCTTGTATAACATATCATTTTTGTGTCAAACTTAAAAATAAATAAAAAAAAACAATAAAAAATATATCTTGCCTTGTGATGGCGGCGTGCGAGTATCCATAAACAATATTTCGTTCCGTGGATGTCAAAAATCTTCCGATAGATGGACTACCATCATCATCATCAATCTTGTTCACGCTAGTCGTACAATACACAGATCAGCGACACGATGTACGTAACGTCTGTTACTGCTACTGCGATCGCCAATTCGTCTCCCGAGCGTGGGTAATATGGCAAGTTTTCTCTACTACAGTAGATCCTAATTCCCAGCAGTTACTCATTCCGTCATTAATGGGATGATGATGACATACATATTTATATATAATACAGATGGATGATTGATACCGGTCAGTTTCGAAACCGACGAGTCCAATCGGACTGCACAGTTGATGTTAGTTTTTTTTATAGGATAAGGATGACAAACAAGCACACAGTCCATCTGATGGAAAGTGGATTCTGTGACCCATGTACACCTATCGATTAAGAATCAAAATGGGGTGACAACGCATCTAGCGTTGTCATCCCTAAGGACTAACATGAAATACCTCCTTTCCAGTAAATGTTAGCCAAATCGCGGCTGACCAGTTGATATATAATTCTTCTCTCCGTGTTTATGTGATTGAACTCCTCCTAAAGGGCTGGACCGATGTTGATGAAATTTTGTTTGTGTGATTAAGTTGAAAGTGGTGGTAGCGTGGCGCTGTTGTTGAAATTAGAAATAACCCGTGCGCAGCCAGGGCGGACCGCTAGTAACTGTATAAGTATCTTCATATTTAGAGTTACCTCAATTACCTACTATTTCATAGAGACTAGGTTTAAATATTACGTCGGTACATTACCCTGATGAAAGCAGCACCAGCCGCAGCGCCCAACGACTGTGCCACAATGTAGAAAATCGCCTTCAGTAGCTTGATGTCTCCAGACACGAAGAGTCCGCATGTCACAGCGGGGTTTATGTGTCCTCCGGATACGTGCGCGATCGCCTGCGAAACAATATTATGACTCGTCAGCGATTTTTAAAATCGATTAAAAAAATTCTTAAATGTGACTGGTTGGTTTGGCGAATTTGGCTAACAGTAAAGGTTAATAAAGTTTAACCACAATTTTATTTTTTTAATTGATGATGGTAATTTCCTTTTGAACGAACTGCAACAACAGTGAAAAATTCCGAATTGTCGGCAGCTTGATACTAAGGGAGAGTTATGGTCAGTAGGCGACGCTCTCGGTGTGAACTGACCCTAATAAAGGTACAGTATTTTTTTTATATAGGATAGGGTGACAAACGAGCACACAGCCCACCTGATGGTAAGTGGTTGCTGTGGCCCATAGACATCTACATCTATCCTCGTTTGCGAATCAAAATGCAGATGCGTTGTCACCCGTGAGAACTGAGATGGAATGCCTCTCTTCCAGTAAAACGGGTCTCCGGTTCTCTACACTTACCATACGAAACACACCAGTGTTAAGCTGCTATTTGACGCTGGTATTCTGTGAGAGCGTGGTCCTTCCCCGGTCGAGCCGAACCATTCGTGCTACAACTATACTACTAATATAGCTGCAGCATGGCTCTACCACGTACAGAATAAATGTTACAGTGCCACAAATGTAAGCGTATGCTAGGATTGCCAACTCTACTATATTTATAAGGTAGGTAAAGGTAATATAGTCACCTTAAGCTATATCGCTCTATAAAACTAAAATTAGGAGGAGACAGAGACAAAAACATAAAGTCGTATACTATAACTATTATCTTAAGAAAAAAATAGTAAACAAGCTTTGGTAATAATTACGAAAACATCGAAAAATCAACTTAAAAAAATACTAACTAAACTACACAATACAAAAATCGATTAAAATATTTACTGTAATATCAACTGTCAAAATGGCGGCGATAATGCAGCGCCTTTTTGACTCTTTATTATTTGGTTGACTGATGAAGAGCTATCGTATCACAGAGCCATCCATGCAAATCAGGCTTTAGTTTTTGAGTTACAAGAAAGTGACCATATTAACCGGATGTCCATATTACCCTCACGTACTATATATTATCCCACTATATTAGGGGTTTAGGGGTCCGAATTCTATAATACTAAAAGAAGTATATAGTAGGCGAAACTAATATTTGAATAAAGGTTGACTAAGGCGTGAGGCTGTGAATTAAGGTTCAAAGCAACAAAAATATACCGTTAAAAGTTAGTTATTAATTAGGACCATACTGTTTCTTTCTTTCTTTACTATGTATATTATATATTTTATTTAATAATTGGTGACCCTAGTGTACAGAGGGACTTACCTAACCGTCTTCGAAGTAATGCTTAAGCGATAAGATCGGAATTAGGCGACGTTACAATGTCAGAAGCAACAGGACAATTACACTACATAGAGGTCCAAAAAACCAACAATTTTTGCTTTTGCACACAAATGTAAATCTAAATTCTAAATAAGCCATAGGAATTCCTTCAAGTTGTTATTGTCGCAAAAATAAACGATGAATATTATAATCACATTGTTTATTAATGCTTTTTTTAACAGAATATTTGTTTTAATGGTGACAAATGAGCACACAGTCCACCTGATAGTAAGTGGATGCTGTAGCTCATAGAAATCTACATTTATCCTCGATTAAGAATCACAATGCAGATGCGTTGTCACCCCTGAGGATTAAGATGGAATGCCTCATTTCCAGTAAAAATGTTCACCGTTTCTCTACACTCACCATACGAAACACAGCAGTGTTAAGCTGCTATTTTACGCTTCGTATTCTGTGAGAGCGTGGTCGTACCCCGGTCGAGCCGAACCATTCGTGCTACAAAGATAATATAGCTGCAACGTGGGTCTTAACTCGTTTGTATTTTTATAAAAAGTACCGAATTTTTCTCTAATTTTCCCTTAGAATTACTCCAACATTAATATACAGTCATAAATTATGATCGACCTATATAGTGTTTATTATTAAAACAAACCTATTAGTTTGTACTAACGGCGTGCTTCCCAACACCGATACACATCTAAAGTTCGGTGAATAAATCTCAATTAGTGAGACGTATAAGATCATTGATTGTAATTGGAAATTGAAGAGTTTATATCACCTAATGGATCTTTATCGACGGAATCAAGCATTCGTTACTGTTTCCAACTCGTTTACTTTAAATCATACATGATATTTAACCTTACAAATAGACAAAACTTTTTTGGCCTTGAAAAAATACTGGCTAGATTACACTTGTAGAACAAAGCGTCAGTAATGTAAGTTGGAAATACAATACCAATGATTGTATTGACAATTGACACGCGGGAGCAAGTGCTCAATCAGGTTCATTTTTAGTTTAATAGTTACTTTCGATATCAGTTCCTCGCACAATATTTGTATGTTTCTTGAGCTCGAGGACAAACAAATTGTGGGAAATAAATACAGATTTAAAATGTTAAATATTGTTGTTTTTAGTGAAAACATATTGATAGTAATATATGCAGTCTTAAAATGAAAATTCATTGAGCCAGCTCACATCGCGTACCTGAGCTATCATGATTACAGAACACAAAACTGTATCCATTGTCTTATTCGAACCAAAATCTTTAAATTTGTATATAACTACGCAAAAGTTGTAGGTAATATATTAAATGTGTTTTTGTGTTAATACGATAATAATTAAAATATCGCACAATAATTACGTGATTTTTGGTAACCCTATTTTAGACCGATAATGTTAGAAATCGTGACTAAGATGGTTGTGAGCGCGCACGAGCTTCAGCGTACATCAACGACCCCTGCTATAACTGTTTAGTTATGTTACTTGTTATGTCATAGTTCAAATGCACAGAACATTTAAAATATCGAACATAAACTAACATCAATGATACTATGATATATCGTTGATGTTATAACTTATGATATAGATGAGTATTTTATTATGTTGATGATTATTGTTTGTTATTATTTACGTTAATGATCAATCTGAAACTGAATTATCTTCAAACCTATGACATATTTTTGAAACACTTTTAACATAATGAGTATAATAAACAAATACAGATCATAAATATTTAGCTTAGTGTTTGTTTGAGGAGGCATCGATGTCTAATCTAAAATCCAATTTACTTATGTACCTATACTTATTTATCCCATAATATTTCTAGATCAGCTAAATAAAAAATATAAAGATTAGATTTGCATTTTACTTAGTATTAGAAAGAAGTTTATAGAAGAATACAACATACCTAATATACTTTTCAATTTTTTGTAAGTTACTGCCAGTGATTCCTTTACGCTAATAAACTTCCTCTATTGGTACATAAAGATTTGAATCTTGTTTGGTGAAATACCCATAGCCTTACCATTTTTAACTAATGATGATGAAAAACAGGATTCTTTCATTCGGTTATTAATACTAAATTTAGGTGTGCGTAGAATTCTTTTTTTAGTAACCATTGTTTGCACACCCCCTGATTTGTATGTTTTTAATTTATATTTCTAAAGCGTTGTCACCAAGGTGTTTTTTCTTGGATTGATGCACGAATCGTCAAGCTTGACTGACCATATAACGCCTCGTCGCTCGATCAATGTGACATTAGTCTGATGAAGATCATGGACTGAGCTGACGTTGAACTGAACGTTAACCTACTGATGTACATGAGATCTTCCCGTTGTAGGGAGGTCACTTGGCAGGCGGACTAACAAACGCTGACATTTCGCACCTTTTTCTCGCATCTTGATAAATTGATCAAACTCAGACAAGTCACGACCGCACATTTTTTTTTGTGTAACATCAATTTTAATGTTATTCTTAATTGCTAGCAAAATTGGATTCGGAAATGACAGTCCATGAAGATTACCAATTAAATCATAAAGAATTAATAAAGACTATAAACATTGAACTGTCGTACTTTTCAATGTTATTTTAACACTAGTAGAATTTATATCTTAGTAACTTCAATTTTTTTTAATATTGTTATGAGAAACGAGTTAACATTTCACCTAATAAATAATACGGGCCGTACAAAAAAGACTACTACAGCCTTTTTTTGTATGGTCTGGTGATAACTGCAATGCTCGATTAGGAATCAAAATTCAGATTAGTTTTGTCTTATAAGGACTAAGATGGCTACGTTAAAAAGGGGCTCTGGCTTTCGTCATTCATCATACATAATACAGCAGTATGATGATGCTATTTCACGTTCGCATTCTCTGCGATCGTGGTTCTTCTCCGGTCGAGCCCAAACCTTCGCGCAATTATCATAAGAAAGTTGAATCATTGTGTTTTTTATCTAACAAAATAGTGAGATTGATTAGACATACAAACACAGTATGAATAAGCTTAATTGCAGTTTATGGTTTGTTCTCATAATGTGGTTCGAACGCTCCTTGGCAAACGTGAACTTAAACTGAGCGTGACTAAAGAAATCAATTATAAAATCGTAACGTGTCAGCAAATTAAAAATATTTCACGGTTGCCTTATATAAAAGTTAATAAATTAATTCGTTATCAAGTCCTATTTAAAATAAAATTAAGCAGGACCAGGACTGTCAGTCAAGACATACACTCAATTTCACAGTAAATTGAAACAGAGCGAAATGTCAGTCACAGATAACATTTTGGTTGTCGGCTGATTGCAAGGACTTCAGCAGACTTCTTAGCATTTGACACCGGAAACTGCGCCTTATATTTTTATCTGCGAATACCTTGTCCTAAATAACGTTATTAGTTAATATGATAAATTTACATTTATCAAACTAGCACATATTAAATTATCGTATTTGCTTTCTGTCAAACTTATATTCATATCCGTATTAATTACTTTTTTTTAAAAGTGAAAACTTATTTAGAATCGTTGTGATTTGAAAGTTTCAAATTTGAAAGTCGATGAAACGAAAAAGCGACACTACAAAGAGATAAACATACACGTCTATAGGATTTATCCAGCAAGGGAATGACATAGAATCTATACATATAATAAAAATGTAAATAGCAGATGTCTGTACATT